ATTTTAATTATTTCAACGGTTCACTTAAACTTAAGTGTCCTAGCTTTGGTGATGTGATACATAAAACGTTGTAATTTAAGTATACAGTGATAGTTGCATGTAAAATCAGTGTTAAATTCGTTTTTTTTTAGTCAATAACTTGTAGTGTATATAACTGATGTGACGGTGTAAATGTCATTCGTAATCTAAACTACCGTCCACAACGTTTTTAAAATCATAATAACTTAATAACAGTTAAAAAAATTCAAGAGTTACGTAACGAAGCGGTCAGCCTATTTCTGCATAACGCGGCCTCGACTGCGTGCGCGGGAGTGCACCGCGTTCTCATCCCACCGTGGATCATCATTTTGTTTACAAAATTTTAACTACAAAACTCTAATTTGAAACAAAATTTCTGGATTGTTTAACTTTAAAATAAATACTCGCCGTAGCTGTGCTGTGAGTCATGGAGTCGACATTGAATAATAAATCGGTCTCGGAATCGAATATCTCACAAGAGTTTCCATCGCCTGTGTATGTCTCTCAGCGAAATAAAAGAGCCCGAGAACCCAATTTTGAAGTCGATTTTAACGCCTTCAGAGAAGAAATGAAGAGCATGATATCTTCGATGTTTGCCGTACAGAGTAATGATATAAAAAAGATTTTTCCCACATTATCTGAAATACAAATTTCTAACAGTAATATAGAAAAGTCGATATCGTTCCTGTCTGCTCAACATGAAGAATTAAAAAGAAAAATTGATTTAATGGAAGCTCAAGCTAAAAAAGATAAAGACTACATAACTATCCTAGAAGACAAGTTAGAGGACCTCCAAAGAGTAAGTCGAAAAATGAACGTAGAAATCAAGAATGTTCCAAAAATGCCACAAGAATCCAAAGAAGACCTTATAAATATGGTTAAGCTTTTATCTGAAACCGTTGCATGTAAAGTGGAGAAACGTGATATTCAAGACATTTATCGTATCCAGGCAAAGAATAAGAAAGAACAAACTAAACAACAACCCATCATAGTGGAAATGTCCTCTGCTATTCAAAAAGCCGACTTCCTTAAGATGGCAAAATCCTACAACCTAAGACACAAAGAAAAATTATGTGCAAAACATTTAGGCATAAAAAATAACTACATGGACAACCCAATCTTCATATCTGAACAACTGACGGCTAAAGGCGCAAGGCTACATTTCCTAGCTCGTGATCTTGCGAAGGCAAACCAGTACAAATATTGCTGGACTGCCTACGGGAGAATTTACGTCCGAAAAGATGATAATTCTCGAATTATAATAGTAAAAAATGAAGCTCAAGTAAACAGTCTCATGAACTTAAAATGACTAGACATATCTAACTGTTTTAACTCATCGCTTTCGTTTTCTTTTATGTTACGTATATTCTTTGTAAATTTTTATGCACATCTATTGTTAAATTATAAATACAATTTTACACAACATCCTCATCACTACTCATATACTTACACAGTTCTAAATACACATTCAACCCAGTCAGACATTCTAAATCGCTCTTTACTTAAAATTTTTTGTAATGTTCATTTCTTTCTAGTTATAGTCTGTTCATCTTTATTAGACGACAGTTATGAATTGTCTTAACACTATATGTGAAGTAGATAACATAGAATTTGCAACTGTACATGTTGATAACATTGAGAACATTTCTCGGCTATTAGGTGTGACACGAAATGATTTTACTGTAATATGTCAAAACATCAGAAGTGTTTATTCAAATTTTGATGATCTGCAACTTAACCTAGCTCTTCTAAAATTTCAAACAGACTTAATCATCCTCAGTGAATGTAGGTTAAGAACAGAAAAAAGCATTCCCCATATACCGAATTATAACTCCTATGTGACAACAAATCACCTCAACCGTGCAGATGGTGTGGTTGCGTATCTTAAAAGCAACCACAGGGCCACTGTTACTGAAGTTTACTTAACGCACGCGTCCTGTCTGCAAGTTAGTCTACCTAACGTTACTGCCCTTGCTATTTATCGTTCTCCCTCCATTGTTAATGCAAATGAATTCATCACGTCACTTGATAAGTACTTAGAAATTATTAAGTATAACAAAAATATAATAATTGTGGGTGATATAAACATCAACTTAATTTATAGACTAGACGAAAAATCACACGAACGTTTAAATAGAATAGCTTATCTAAACATGCTTGCCGTGCACGGACTCTTACCAGGACATTCACTTCCAACTAGAGGTGTTAGCTGTCTTGATCATGTCATGCTAAAGTTGCAATCCGAGAACAAAACGGCTGCCATTGCTATTGCCAACACCACTATCACCGACCATCTCATGACTATTTTAAAGATATCTAACAAAACATGTTCCAACAAAATCGTTAAAACTAAAACAAAGACGACGTTAAATACTATAAATGCACTTGAACATTTGAAATGTAACCTACCTGAGCTATTAACTTTTAAAAATCCAAATTTACTTACAGACGCCTTAATTAAAACATTACAAGACTGTGTTAAGATCCACACTGTTGAAAAAGTCATACCACTAAAAAATCTAATGATAAAACCTTGGATGACCTCTGGCTTGTTGCGATGCATTCGTAATAGAAACTCCATCCAAAAGAAGTTGAAACTCGACCCAAATAATGACATCCTTAAGATTACTTTCAAAAGATATAGAAATTATTGCAACTTTTTAATTAAAAAGTTTAAGCGTAAATATGAACGAGATAAACTACTTGCAGCACGTAAAGATTCTAAAAAGCTATGGAAGACTATTAATGAAATTACTAATCGGAAACTAGTTAAGACACAAAATACTGACTTACTGGAGACGGCACGCGACCCCTTTGAGGCAGTAAATACAGTAAACAAACATTTTGTCACAGTTGGTGAACATCTAGCTAATACTATCTTATTACGACGTACATCACAACAAGCTAGGGAAATAAATCAAAATTCAACCCGACCCGTTGCATCGTTCGTGCTTCTTAATACTGATGATCAGGAGGTGCGCAATACTCTGCTGAGTTTAAAATCAACTAGTGCAACAGGTTCAGATAATATACCTATCGCTTTTCTTAAAGCTGCACATGAAATCATCGTCCCAACCATTACCAACTTGATTAACCTATGCTTTGAGCACGGTGTCTTTCCTTCTGCCTTAAAAAAAGCCCTAATCACCCCTGTGCACAAGAGTGGAGACAAGACTACCCTAGCAAATTATAGGCCAATATCGGTGTTAACGCCCCTTTCGAAAATAGTAGAAAAAATTATCAACTTAAAACTAGTGAATTACCTTAATAAAAATAACATAATATCTTCCTCACAATTTGGGTTTCGGCAAGGGACGTCTACAGAGGACGCTATTTTGCAACTAACTTCTATTGTTACTGATAAAGTGGACAAAGGTTATAAATGTATGGCTGTTTTCTTAGATTTAAAAAACGCTTTTGATTCTGTTTCTGTTCCCACACTTTTACATAGGCTAGAGGAGATTGGCATTAGAGGCCAACCTCTTAACATTTTTGAAGACTACTTGGCTGATCGTAAACAGAAGGTAAAAATAGGAGATTACATCAGTTCAGAGGAGACCATTACTTATGGTGTGCCCCAAGGCAGTGTGCTTGGTCCAACATTATTTCTTGTATACATAAATCATCTTTGCAATACCAAGCTCAATAAGGGTCACATCTTCTCCTACGCAGATGACACGGCCTTAGTCTTTTACGGTAAAACGTGGCATAGTGTACGGAGAAATGCTGAACGTGAACTGTCGAGGGTAGCAAGCTGGTTAGACTCTAATTTGTTAACTTTGAACACTAAAAAAACTAACTTCATCTGTTTTACCAAGTACGAACGAACACAACCGCCTGATGACTTTCTCATTAAAATTCACACGTGTCCAGACTCAAATAATACTTCATGTGCATGCACAACCATTGACAAAGTAATCCATACTAAATACCTAGGTGTAATGGTCGACCAACGTCTCTCGTGGCATGATCACATCGAACTCATTTTAACTAGAATACGTAAACTTACGTGGACATTTAAGACCTTAAGACATGTTGCCACGAAAGATATTGTACGCCAGATTTACATTTCACTTGCCCAATCAGTTATAACTTATTGCTTACCTGTTTGGGGTGGAGCATCTAAGCTTAAATTTTTAGAAGTTGAAAGATCTCAGAGATCTCTCTTAAAGGTAATTTATTTTAAACCGTATTGTTTTCCAACAAGTGATCTTTTTACAATTGCTCAAGTTCTGACAATCAGAAAATTGTACATATTACAAACTATATTAAAACTGCATAAATCAATAAAATTTGACCCCGTGACTAATAAAAAAAGAAGAAAAAACGTTGTTAACGTTATTAAAATAAATTCCACTTTTGCTGCAAGGCAATATCCTCGGCAATCCTCTAACTTATACAATTTAATAAACAAAGAAATTAATATCTACCCTCTTAAATTATTTAAATGCAAAAAGACTGTAACTGACTGGTTAATGACTAAAACTTATGACGAGACTGAAACATTAATTCAAACTATACCACGTATATGAAAGATAATTATGTAAATTCAACTGTACTTACACACATGCACTCATGTACATACACGCTCATACAGACATACACACACAAACTCAAACATACACACACACACACACATTCATACAATCAATAGACCTGTATTGCACACACATTAAATTACACAAATGTGTTTTTCTGTTATTTTCTATCATTTCTGCTCATTTTTACTTTTTAATTTAGAAATCAATAATTAGTTTATTGTCATTTTTACTTTTTAATAAACTCTTTGTATTTTGTTTTGTTTGTTAAAGTATAATTGTCTTTATATAATATATAGATTAAGAAGGTACCATTGATATTGTTTATGTGACACGGAAGAGCGGGACTTCCAATCACAAGCCCGTTATGGATGCTTAAATGGAAGTCCCGGCACAAATGTTAGTATGTACCATTTTTGTTTACGCAATAAATCATTTTTCATTTTTCATTTTCATTTTCATGTTCTACATTTGTGCCAAATTTCAGCGAGATCCATGAAACCGTTCCGGAGATTATCATCATCAGCTCACTATAACCCCCTCACTCACTATAGTCCCCACCGAGGGACTCGGAGCCTACTCTAAGTTAAGGGTGATTAGGCCATAGTCAACCACGCTGGCCAAGTGCGGGTTGGTTGACTTCACCCATATCTTTGAATTACTTCTCAGATATGTGCAGGTTGCATCACGATGTTTTCCTTCACCGTAAGAACGTAGGATAAATATATATATGTAAATCGGAAACAGAAAAACACATTGGTACATGGCGGGATTCGAACCCAGGGCCTGCAGATTGCAAGTCAAGTGCTTGACCACTGAGCCACCGACGCTCCGGAGATACCTTCTAACAAATATCTATCCATCCATCAAAACATTCGCATTTATAATATTAGTCAAGCTACTTTTATTCTGATAAAGGTTATTCAATAGTGACATTTTATCGAATAAAATCGTTTACAATGCAACAAATATGAATTTAATATCCGTAAAGGCTTCGATATCAAGCAATAAATTTATAAACTCTGATATTGCCAAGATGTATGACATACCAACATAGTGCAAGCAACTAATATACCTTGCTATTTCTTACTGCAAACTTTATTAAATGATTCTGTAAATTCTTTAGGTAACATTTTTCAATAAAACAAAAAAAAACAATGTTGTCCTCTCTCTTCTTTCAATCTATCTCTCTCTCTATAACTCTAGGTGCCTCTCTATTTAATGAAGGTTTTTTTTTATATTACAAGGTGGCAAACAAGCGAGCGGCCGCCTGAAATCGCTGAAATAGCGAAGTGACCGTAGCCCATAGACATACGCAATTGCATATGCGTTGCCTAACTTTAATCGAAGGAGGAGAGGATGCACAGAAAGAAAATATTTTCCCTTTCCATACATCCTGTCATCTGGAAAATCCACTTCCACTTCCCATCCTTTCCTTATAAGAAAAAGGGTGGGAAGGGAAAGAGGACTAATTTTGGCCTCCGGGACGCACACTCATCAGACGAAACGCGGAATTGCTTGCACTTCACGCGTGTCTTCTGTGTGGTCGTGGTATTTCACCGGGCGAGCCGGGCCGATTCGTGCGAAGATGTTAAAGCGGGCTCTACCACTGTTAACGGTTGCCCGTCATTACAGAATAGTGTTCTCCTCAATCGTCTAAATATCTTCAGTCTTCTAGTCTAGTCTAACAATTGATGTAATGTACCTATACATACAAACACTGACACATAAAAAACATACTAGCGAAAAAATGTCTCCAGTAAGTCAGTTTCTGGGACTAAAATCTCTGTATAAAACCTATCGTCATCCCTGTCATTATCTTCAACAAAATAGAGATACCAATATGTTTTAAACAGCCGATAAAGAATCATGTTTTACGTACACTTTTAACTGTGCTATGCTCTTACAATCTGATCTATTTGGAACACAATATATCTAGTTATGACGTAATTTGTATGACACATCCATTTGAGTTTGATCATTCAATTATCAGATAATAATGTACGCAGTTAATGGAAATGATGACAGGTTAAAAGCTTAACACACTGCACGTAATCCCGTGTATACTAAGCCTTATGATAGTTGCGGGGGTGTCATCGTTGTTATTCTATAGTATTACGTAAAAAAAAAACCCCGACTATTAGCAAAAATGTAAGAAAAATCATTCTGTTGGTTGAACATTTTTATAATGTAACTAATAGTCACGCGCGACTCCGTCTGTGCGGAATTGAAAGAAAATTCTTCCAGACTATGTTTTACATCTTTGCCAAATTTCAGTAAGATCCGTCTCTGTTCTGGAGATACTTCTAACGAACATCCGTCCATTCATTCATCGGTCAATACATCCTCCAAACATTCTCATTTATAATATCGGTAAGAATCAAGATTAGTTTTGTGATTGTCAGTTGGATTATACTTTTACTTTTATAGGGATATTTAATGATTTATCATGTCAAATGTTAACTAACTTTTAA